ATATCTATTGATTAGATTTGGAAGCTCAATAGATGTTTATTTTGGAGAAGATAGGGTTAAGAGCATGATACCTGCCTTCAAGTATTTGAAGGCTTCTCATGCTGAATAGGGATTAAATGTGTTTTGAATGGCACAAGATGGTAGAGGACAGAGGCAGGAACACTGGGTAGAAGCTGCAGAGAGGCAAGTTAGATCTTGATATGAGGAAAAATGTCCTGACCATTGGAGTTATCCTCAAGTGTTAATGTGCTGCCTCAGGAGGTAGTATAGAATTTCATGAGTCTTTTGTATGCAGAAATTACTCACCCTGCTTTCAATAATGCACATATATTACTTTATGTGTGTAATGAATTTCATATTGCTTGCCTTCTCAATAGGTGGGAGAGGGGCTAGAGGGATGGAGAGAATTTGGACCTGGAAAAAAATGTATGTGTATATATATATATATATATATGTAATGCATATGTGTATGTGTGTGTATATATGTATGTATGATATGTGTTTATGTGTATACACACACATACTTTATTAAAAGAAAGTAATGGGGTGGAAGTGGGAGTTGTATGCAAGTTAGAGCAATGGTGTGTAAACCTGTCTGGGAAACCGTACTCTTTTTTTTATAAAAGGAATTATGATTCAGAAATAACTTAAGAATCATCAATATTGTGTTTTCTATTAAACTTCAATTTACTGAATGAGAAAATTCACAAATATACATGTGTATATATGTATAAGTATATATGCATATATGTATATATCTATATACATACAAAAAGTTTCAATATAAATTTTATATTCATATTCATTTAACAACTATTTTTATACCCTGTCAATCTTGAAATCTTGTATGTAGCAGATTTGCAAAATTACCAGTGAGGTTCAAAAGTATAGCCTAAGCCCATGTAACAGAATAAAAAAGTAGGCTCCCATCCTAACATATAGTGGAAAGGATATGGGACTTGGACTGAGTTTGAGTGCCTATTCTGTCATTTGCTAGCTGTTAATGACCTTCACTAAATCACTTCACCTTTCAGAGCCTTTATGACTTAGCTGTGATTCTCAGATGCTCTATTTTCACTGCCTTCTTTAGAGTCAAATGAAATTAATTTTCTCCAGGACATGTTCTTTCCTCCTTTCTATCTCTTGATTTTCTTTCATACTATTCCTTATGCTTCTTAGACTTGGCTAATTCTTTCCTTTTTTCAAAAATATTGGGGAGGGTCAGCTAGGTGGCACAGTGGATAGACCACCAGCCCTCGAGTCAGGAGGACCTGAGTTCAAATCCGGCTTCAGACATATAACACTTACTAGCTGTGTGACCCTGGGCAAGTCACTTAACCCCATTGCCTACAACAACAACAAAAAAAAATCTTAAAAAAAAAATCTACATTTAGTAAACAAAGCTATGTCCAAACAATATTATCATGTGTTGTTTGTTCATGGTCCCCCCCCACGCCCCTTTTTTTTTTATTGCTACCTCTCTAGGGATTCCTACTAAAGTATCTCAGCCAGGACTTGCCCCATTTAGATATAAGCACATGACCTAGAGTTTCCTGGTTCCCGCCTCTATTCTGCTCATTAAAATGTTTTTGTCCTGTGTTCTAATCCCCTCCACGGTCTGCTGGGGAAATGACAAATTAATATTGGCTAATATGATAGCAGGATACTCTATTAGTTCCTCCCAAGTAAAAAAAGATGCATTTTAACCATGCATTTTATGCAGACAATGGCTTAACCCCAAATAAAAAACTGAAGAATTTTGGCCAGACCTTAAAGTTTCCTTCAAAAAGCAGAGGATTACCTATATTGTCTGCTACATAGCAGTGTCAATATTTTGTGAAAATGATATCCTAAATTCTCGAGTCAAATATTCCTTTTTTGTTGTGTATACATTTGTTGTGTATACATTTTTGGCCTAGTGTTAATGATAATAATAACTAATACAATTAATTGTTTAATACTTTAAAAACAAATAGTATTTTAATTTGTTTTTCTTTAAAATAAATTCATTGTGTGATTACATATTATTTTCAACCACCCTATTGTGAGCCTTTTATTAAACAGCTTATAGCAGATTGTATGTGTTTGGTTAAACTTAAGCTAAATGTCACATTCTTAAAGCAAATATGTAAGAAAACAGATGTGTTAATTTGTGGTTCACATAAACACAGCATTTGTTAAAAATGAACAGTAAAAATAAATTTTCATAATAATTTCTCAGACATTTCTTAAAAATATAACCTTCTGGTCAGGGTATATGGTATACTTCTGTAATCCTTTTTACCCAGAGATGCTGAAGCTGCTGGATCTCTTGGAACAGAGAATTCTGAGTTACAATGGGCCAAGCCAATTGGGTATCTATATTAAATTCAACATTGAACCCCAGGAAGCAAGTATCACTGTTGAGGTTTAGGGGTACTGCACTAATGAATTCGACCCAAGCCTTCTTTTACAATATTTTCTCTTTGCTGTGTTTTTAAATCTGGAAAAAGAAAAAAAAAAACTATACTAATAAAAAGGAAAGTAAATGAGTTGTTAGAGTTTTTTTTCTTTTTTTAGCATGTTATTGACAAATTGGGAAATTCAGAAGAAACTAGTAGATTTTTATATTAGCAAAGAACTAAATCAATACTAATGGTTTTACCTTAGCAGAAGTTAGAACTTTGTTTTTTTATTGTTATAGCAGAAAAGCAGAATTTAATTTGAGGATGCTGAAATCTAAGGAACTGAATTAGGCCAACAGAAATAGGTATGCTATAATAATACATGTTTACAAGCCAACAGAGAGAAAAAAATCCTAAACCATGTGTAGTTTATTCAAAACTGAAAAGCAGAAGTCTCATAGAAACTAGGTCTAAGTTTTTATATTTTTTCAGATGTCCTTTTCCTCCCGTTATCTCATGGTTATACTATTTTAATAAAAATAGCTGAGGAGATAGAATGCCTTTTTTTTTTTAATAATGGTGATGGGGTTGCAATCTGGGCCCCAGAAAGGAAAAACCCTGGACTTCCCCACATGGCCAAATCTCTGGCATTCCCCTGAGGTTATAATCCCTTCAACTGGCCTTTCATTGTGGCTACACCCAATCTCCCCTCCATTGTCTTACCTCCCTATGGCCCCTGGCCATTTCCCACACTTAATCATAGCTAGGCTCCATTGTCCAGGTCCCAGGAGTTCTGTTCACCCCAGCTTACCAGCCACTCCCATCCAGATCTCCTTAGACCTCTCCTCCAGTCACCCCAAACTACTTGACTACTCCTAGATCCCTCCTACAGGCTTTCTGTATATAAGGTCCATCTTATCTACATTAAGATGCTTAGATTCTTAAAATCTAGCCAATGCTTAGATTCTTATACTCTAGCCACTGGTCAGATTCTTATAATCTAACCACTGGTTACCCATGTTCAGACTCCTTAAGAGTCTGCCCAATATGATGGATGTTCTAATAAACCTTGTCTTTGGCTGAAAGAAGGCTTGGGCCAAATTCTTTCGGGCAGGACCCGCCTGTTGTGATTTTGGGGTCCCAGCACCCCTGAACCCCTAAACCGCATCAATTGAACACTTATTTAAGCAAAACTGTTATCTAATGTATGATTATGAACACACAAATGTACACATCCAATTTGAAAGGCAAGTATGACCTCATCTGTTTATTCTTCCTAAAATTTATTTTAAAGATCTTTATTATGACAAATCAATATGACAAGGTTGTTCTTTTGCTGAAATAAACAAGAATCAATGAGCCATATAAATAGCTATATGCTGAATAATACATATCCAATATTTCTTTAAAGGTAACCTAGAAAAAGAAATGTATCTTTGAATTTTAACTTCCTCCAGTCCTCTAGCTAAACTAATATTACTGTCCTGTTATGGCATTTATTTAAAAAATATATGTAATACACATTTACACAAGATCTTTCATGAAATTTATTTTTAAAAATGCAAAGGGAAAGGAATGAGAAGAATGATAAAGAGATGGAGAGAATATAAGTAAAGTAGATGCACTTTTCTAATTAATTTGAGGTATTGTTATAATGAGTGCTTTAGCTTTAGCCTATTGATTCCTTCTCTGATCTATTAAAATTCCCAAATACTTATGAACTACTTCAGGACTAAGGATTTCCAGGATAAATGAAAACATTATTAAAAATATTTATGCAAAGAAACAAATAAATCTTAGTTGTACCTTTCAGTGCATAATGATGAGTAATTATTCCAAATGGGTAACAGAAGAATTCTTTTTTTTTTTAATCTAACATTGTGCTCTTTTAGCTGAGGTGGATCTTAGGACCCATAAGGATCAATAAAAATTTGTATATCCCTATTCATATTGAAATGAGAAAGTAGAGTTCACTATGTAGAAACATTGTAGAAATATTTGAATATTCAAAATGCTCAGGTCATCCTACTCCCTCCTTTGGTAGCCAAAGATGACAACACTCTTCTCTTGCACATTCTCCAGAAATATGTTGGCTCACTTCATGATGTTCATGTTTAAATCATAGTTCAACAATTTTATGCTTTCTTTTATGCATTTATAAAACCTCCTCCTACAAACAGATAGATATGAATAATCTCCCCCACCCCATATTGTGTTATTGTGATTAGAATAAGAAAGCATTCCTTTTAGTGAAATTGCTAACTCTAAGGAAAGGAAAAAAGAAGTCTATATTTCCCAAATGATCTGCAGAGAAAGCTTGTATCTATTTGTAATCAAGATCATTTAGAGAATGTGGGAAAGAGAATGTTATGTTGTTAATCTTTCCCTTTATTTCATTTTAAAATTGCTCTATTTAAATTCATTTTAGTAAATGGTTGTATTTTTCTTTTTTAGTCTGAAATGGATTGAATGTTAAATCAGCAAACAATTGGTCTTTAAAAAAACCTATAAAGATGGAGGAAAGCAAATTTCATAAAATCGTTCAATTTAATGTGATTTGTTAATATTTTGAAAGAAAAACTCAACAGTGTTGTAAATGATATGTTTTGTTTTCAGATGTCAAATACTTAAAAGAAGAGGATGCAAATCGCAAGACATTCACTGTCAGCAGTACACTTGATTTCCGAGTGGATCGAAATGATGATGGCGTGAAAGTAATTTGCAGGGTAGACCATGAATCTCTAAATTCCACACCTCAGGTAGCAATGCAGGTCCTAGAAATACACTGTAAGTAAACACTTTTTCCCCTAAACTCGTGCACTAAATCTTTTCTTTTACCTTTTAAATCAAAGTCAAGTTCATCTTATAGCAGAACTCAAATCAATTAAATGAAACCTGTATTGAAAGAGAAGCAATTCTTATCTGAATTTCATTATTCACAATAAAGTAAACAAACAAACAAACAAAAACTTTGTAAGGTTAAAAGACTATCGTTTTTAAATTTTTTGTTGATTACCAAAAAGAAAAAAAATCTTTTTTTGGTGAAGAACTAAGTGAAAATATTAGCAGGCTTCAACAAAGCGTTGACAATTGAACCCTACATAGTATAGTAATGCTCATAATAAATGTACCCCACCATTTGAAATTTCTTAAAAAAAAATAGTGTTAAGGTTTAGAGTTGGGAGAGCTGGTTCATGTGTGAAAGAATCCACTTAGACCTTCTCTGTTGCCATTGGGAGCTTTATTTCATCAAAGCGCATGGGCCTGAGATTAGCAAGGAGCTAACCAAAGGCCCCGATATAGTAAAGGACCCAGACTTATATAGACAGAAAACTATACAGTCTGTGGGATAATGGTATATTTTTAGGAAAATGGTTGTCAAGATAAGGAAAAATTGTAATGACACAGGATGAGGAACACAGATAAGGAAGACAAAGGAAATTCTTTTGGTGCAAGTTGTATGGCATTTCAAGATAGGGGAAAGAGACTCTAGGATGCCCTCAAATCCAGGAGGGGCCTCACAAGGTGCTGGAAAAACAACCCTTAATTAAAATTTGTTTCTATACAAAGCTTTTAGCTTTTAGGGCACTGTATGTCTTCTGCTTCAATAGGACTTTACTACATTCAGTATATGACAAAATAAATAGCAAAGATAAAGTAAGAATAGAGCTAATTTTATTTTCTAAATTCTAATTTCTAAACTGTGTTCTAAGCCCTTCCATAGGCTTTTAAGGGGTGACCATTATGTAATCTTAGGTTGTTTTTACATTCCCTGCAGATACTACCTTGTTTTTATTATAGTGATAAAAGGTTGAAAGTGCTTTATATCTTGAAAAGTCAAATGCAAAACTTATTTCCCATGTGCATTTTATGCATATAATAAATACTCTTATGTACATCCAAATGTCCTATTCGAGATTTGACCTTCTCCAAATCTATGTTGTCCTTTGCTTATGTCTGAACCATCTATCTATTTAATGCAGTCTTTATCCATTGCAGCACAAAGGCCCCCTCAGAAGGTTTATTTATTGTCAAACTGACAGATTTCAGGACCAAAGCTTAAATTGGTCAGTAGGGGCTAGCCTTGTCTTCCTGTATGACCTTAGCATCAGAGATAAATCGAGTGAATTATTTCATATGACATTTCATTGTTTAGGCTGTGAATGGTGCAATATCATTATATAATACTTTGTTAACTTAAGGTAAGTTCCCTCTAATAAATCATCACCTTTTTATTTTTAGTTGCTTTGGTTTTTTTTAGTTATTTTAATTTCATGATTTCTCATTTCCTCATTTGATCAAGTAGTTCTCTAAAATGACTGGCATATAATTTCATATTATATTGAATGAAGGGCATCAGAATTCCTTTACTTGAACTTTCTTATCTTTAGGCAAAGCCAATAAGAAAAATTAAAATAAAGTTAAATGACTACATGAAATTCAGATTTCAACCCAAATTTGAAAGAAAATCAAGGTAATTTGATTATACAGATTCCAGAAGGAAGTTAAAGTACACACTGGGGGTATTCTTAGCTGTGTAATTGCCTTTTTAGTTTGCCAAATTCTACAAGTAAACACCTTATTCATCAAATAGGTGTTACTAAGCATTACTGAAGCATGATGAATTATTAAGGGTTGGTCACTTTTTTTGAAAGTTTGAAGATAATAGATATAGAGATGCATATATACATAAATACATACATATAAACATATGCACACACATACATATATGTATACATACATATTCCCCTTGGGATAGCAGACCAGTTACAGAAAAAAAAATCTTTCACTTTGTTTTGGTTTAGTGAGTATGTGTCTGTAAGGCAGAGGAAAAAAAATCTATTTAATTTCTTTTTCATAGCATGTAGTACACCACTGTGCATGTGGAGGAGCTTAATTAAAATTATTTTATGATTATGTTGGTTGTCCCTCTGAGGTACAGTTTCCCATTGTGTTAGTGGGGGCAATTTTAGCAGCTGGTCTCAGAACCATAGCAAAGCAAGTTTCAGTTACATTTAGGTGGGGCCTTAAAACATCCCTGAGGATGAAAAATAACAGAGATTATCACCAGTTTGTTTATTTTTTTCCTTTTTTTTTAATCTGGAAGGATAAATCCTGTCTCCACATAAGGCCTAAACTAGCTCCCAGGACGATTGTGTGTATTCCACAAAAACTCTCACGTTTTATTACTGAGATTTCCTCAGGCTCCATGACTGAGTATGTAAAACAATATAACAAAGACACATTTGTAGAACTCTCCTTAGACCTATCCCATATATCATTAACCTTATTTTAGGGATGAGGTAGCAAAGGCTCTAGGAGGTGAAATAATTTACTCTTGATCCCACAGAAAGTAAGCAATCACTCTGTCCAGTAGACAGAATTGCCTCTCAGTACATTTGCTTCTATTTGTTAAGAGGCAGGTCTTCTTACTTTGTATTCCAGCTAATGTCCCGTAAGGTGTGAGAGAGGGTCCGAGAGAGAAAAGAGGCTTTAAGAAGGAGAGGTGAAATAGAAAATAGGAGGGAAGCCCATCACAGTTTCAAAATTTACTGGCTTAGAAAGGATGGAAAATGTATACTTACAAGGTAGAATACATGTAAGGTAGTGATGGGGTTGGAATCTGAGCCCCAGAAAGGAAAAACTCTGGCCCCAGAACATTTCCCACCCTTGGTAATTCTATTACCTCATGGACTCTGTACTTTCCCACATGGCCGAATCTCTGGTGGCTATGGTCCCATCAATTGGTCTTTCATTGTGGCTACACCCAATCTCCCCTCTATTGTCTTGCCTCCCTATGGCCCCAGGCCACTTCCCACCCTTGGTCCCACCTAGGCTCCATTTCCCACCCTTGAGAATTCTATTACCTCATAGACTACTTGGCCACTCTCCCACGGTCTTTCTGTATATAAGGTCCATCTTGTCTCCATTAAGATGCTCAGATTTTTACAATCTGGCCAATAGCCCATAGATGCTCAAACTCCTTAAGAGTCTAGCTAATATGGTGGCTCTTCGATAAACTTTGTTTTTGGCTGCAAGAAGGCTTGGGTCGAATTCTTTCAGGCAGGACCTGGGAATCATGATTTTGGGGTGCCAGGACCCCTAACCTCTAGACTGCATCAGTAGAACCAACGAACCATACTTTTAGCAAACAAAACAAAACACCCTTCTTCCCATCTTCAATACACTCTTCCTAGGGTTGGTATGACATAAGTTACAGCAGTGTAGAATAGGATATAGATATATCTTAGGTAATACCAAGAAACCACCAAAATCAATCAAGAAATCGATCATCAGGCATTTATTTAAGTGCCTACTTTGTGCCAAATCTATGCTAGGCACTGGAGACACAGATACAGTGAATGAAACCATCCCTACTACCAAGGAGTTAATGCTCTAACAGAGAAGACAAAAAAGTGCATGTATAGGTAGGTACAGAATAAATATAAAAATAGTGCAAAGTGGCTGAATACAAAGGAATTTCTAAGAGAGCTCAGTAGCAGTTGGAGCTCTCAGGAAAGGATTCATGTAGATGCTGGTGCTTGAAATGCTTCCTGAAGGGAGAGATTTTAGGAGTCAGAAGTGAGGAGGAAGTCAGGGCCAAGTGGATTCACAAGTGAATTTTACTAAACATTTAAAGAACGATTTATTTCAATGCTACATAAACTATCTGAAAAAATAGGCAAAGGAGTCCTATCAAATTGCTTTTTGGTGTTCAAATCATTTTGAGGAACATTGGAGTGTCACGAAGGAGGAATAGAGAAAAGGCCATTTTGGCTGGATCAATAAATGTGGAAGGAGACATAATGTCCAATGAGTCCCTCAAATAGGATGAAACTAGGTTGTGAAGGACTTTAAAAGTCATATGAATGAGTTATAGTTGATATAAAAGTAATGGGAAGCCACTGGAATTTATTGAGAATAGAGAAATGATGTGGTCAGATGTGTGCTTAAGGAAAATCACTGGCAGCAGTAATTTAACAACAACTATAACAGTATTGATAGCCCTTCATAACCTGGACTCCTCCTACCTTTCCTGTCTTCTTACACCTTCCTCCCCAACATGTATTGTTTGATCCAGGGACACAGGCCTTCTTGTTCCAGGAACAAGACACTTCCATCTCCTAGTTCTGGATATTTTCTCCGCCTGTCCTCTATGCCTGGAATCTTTTCCCTCTTCAGCGCCACCTAGAAGTCCCAACTAAAATCCCATCTACAGGAAGTGTTTCCCAACTCCTCCTTCTAACTCCAGTGCCTCCCTGTCAATTTTTTTTTAATTTAGCACATGTATACCTTGTTTGTATATATTTGTTTGCTTTTTGTTCCTCTCCTATTCCATTATATTGTGAACTCCTTGATGGCAGGAAGATCTTTTCTTTCTTTTTGTATCCTCATCAATTAACATGGTACCTGGCACATAGTAGGTATTTAATAAATGTTGGTTGACTGAATAAAGACAACACTTAACATTTTTCAAAGCATCATCACAACAATCTTGGGAGGCTGGTGATATTCTTATTTTTATTTTATAGATAAGGAAACGGAGTCAAAGAAAGGTTAAGTGACTTGCCAAAGTCTGGATTTGAACTTAAATCTTTCTGACCCCAGACCAAGTGCCTCCTCTAGCTGCCTCTAGTCAGAGATTAGGGTGAAGAGAGACTTGAGACAATGAGACCCATTAGGAGCCTATTGCAATAATCTGGTATGAGGTGATATTAGAGACAACTATTAAGTATAAAAGTGTCGGATTATCATTATATTAAGTTCTGCATGAGAAGCCCTTTATT